ATGGTAAAGAGTGTCGAGTCTGCAAGGAATAGAAACAAGAACAGCAGGGCTAGAACATGGTGAGCAAGGGAAATGTGATATAAAATGAAGTTGAAGAAATGGAAGAAAAGAGACATGAATGTCATAATAATATGAAGTATTTTATCCAAAGCAGGGGTTTTAACCCTTTTTGTGCCCTGGACCCCTTTGGCAGTATGGTGAAGCTTAAGGATCTCCTTCTCAGAATGAAATGTTTAAGTGTATAAAATAAAATCAATACAATTACAAAGAAAACTAGTTATATCAAAATATTAGTAAGACAAATTTGTGCTATAGTAACATATACATATATGTGTACATATATCTATACATTAAATATAAATATGTATAAATAATACATTAAATAAGATCTAGTGGCAGGTCTCATAGTTATCATTTCTAAAGTGAGGGTGAATACAAACAATATTTTATGATCTCTACAACAACAATAATGGGATACAAAATGTCTGTGATTTCTATTGGTGATAAAGTCATAGGCACTGCTGCCACTACTGTGGTTATGTTGTCTATTCCTAACTGAAGGAAATGCTGAACTTCAGTTAGAGGGTAATAGAAATCCAGATGCAGTATTTCCCCATCCATGCTCCTAGATGCCCTAAACTCTGCTTATTCTATCTAGTCTTGATGGGAACCCTAGTCTAAGGGAAGCTTCTTGCCTTAGAAGTCCACTTCTAACTTCATCAGACTACTGAGGAACCTGACCTGAGAGTATCCTCATGAAACAAAAAGAACAGCAACTTCTTACTACAAATACGTACAAAAAGACAACTACTTTGTATATTTTAAGAAATTCCAAAGAAATGCAAAACCAAATTTGGATGCGTTTTGCTTTCAGCATTCGCTCTGAAATTATTTTTTAAAGAAAGGAAGATATTCTGGCCTGGAAAAAAACAAAAACAAGGACAGGGACTCCACAAACCGAAGGCAAGGGTAGGTAGAGTCCTTTGGTAAGAAAAAAATGGGAAACCTACATAACAAGGATATTTTAGACACTCACAGAAACTTTCATAAACTAGAAAGCCTCTCTCTTCCCATTCCCATTTAGGACAAATATCCACTTTCAGAACCTTGCTCTGTGATTCAGTGACCACAGGATAAAGCCTGGAACTGCCAAAGGAAAGCTTATGAGTCCTCAGGCACTGGAATAAAACCACAAAAATGAAAAGCTGCACTTCTGCATCTATTACTTATGAATTATGCAATGCTTCTGAAACATCCAAACTATAATTTTTTGAGAGGGAGAAGTGGCCTTACTTTACATGCTATCATCTCAAAAAGCCTGAGAGGACAGTGACGCTCTTTGGAAGATTCAAGCACTGACACGCTAGAGCATAATGGTTAAGAAGACAGGTCCTGGGGTCACACTGGCCAGGCTTGAATCCCAGCTCCGCCACTAACCAGCTGTGGGACTCGGGGCAAATCACTTTGGTAATCCCCAGTTTGCCACCTGAAAAATAAGCTGCCTCACTGGGTTGCTATGAGAACAAAAATTACATGTAATATACATAAAATGCCTATCACAGCACTGGGCACATAGGAAAAAGCGGTCAACTGATAAAGTTCTTCCTCCCCATTCCAACCCCATTACCTCTGTCAAATAGCCAGTTGAGTTCACAAACTTCTCAAATTCAGCATTACTGACTTCATAGGCATCCATGTAAAAGGCATCAATAGCAACTCTCCTCGCAGGTGCTTCCCCATCCTGCTTTATCTGAGGATCATCTGTGCCCATTGTAAATACTCCGGCAGGGATGGGGACCATCTGCAGCAAAAGGGGAAACACGGGAAGTCAGGCCGTCACCGCCAGAGTGAACCTGGGTCAAGTGTAGAGTGCCAGCACACAGTAAGCACCCAACAGCGAGCCAACCTCCGCCACAAAAGCCACTGTGAAGTAAGTAAAATCATGGCATACTCCAATGAATGATTAGTCACAAAAAGAAGTGAAAATTCTTTAGGGTAGTAATTTCTTTAGGAAAAACGCTACATAATACACATCTGCACACGCCATGGAAACAGGTCTGGAGCAACAGTCACCAAGCTGCTAATGGCTACAGTGCAGAGGCAGGGAGAATATTCCACTTCTTTACACATTTGTGCATTTCTGTCCTTTATTATGTCCACATTTCTTTTAAATTATTTTTAAAAGCAAATATAAAAATGCCAAATACAATATTTTTTTTTAACTTTTTTTTTTTTTTTTTGGCCACGCGGCATGTGGGATCTTAGTTCCCCTACCAGGGAAACCCACGCCCCCTGCTGTGGAAGTGCAGTCTTAACCACTGGACCACCAGGGGATTCCCCATATATAATATATTTAAAAACCCACTGAGTGAATCTAGGTTCCCAGTGATAATGGAAAAGTCTGAAATCATTGAAATGGAAAATCTAAAAGGTTTACTAAAGGACCATGTCTTGTCCTTATTTAATACCTTATTAAAACTCTAATTGTTCCTATCTACTGTTTCACATAACCTCTAAACACCAAGAGGGCAGCAACTGAGGCTGCTTTGTTCACATGCTTTCCTAGCACTAAACATAAGATCTGATGATCACACCGAAAATTTTCAGTTAAGAAACACAGGTCCATCCTCAGCATCACTTGGGAAATCCAACATTACAGCGGTCATCCAGTTTTACTGGGTATCCTAAATATATATCCCTCTGTCCTCTCCCCTTTTCTTTTCCTCGATTAATGCTGTAGCCTCACAATTGCCTCCTTGCCTCCAGTCTCATCCCTTCACATTTCTCCCGGTTCCTCTCTAAGCCATCAACCTTCCTTTCAATCATTCATACAAGTATTTAAGCCCCTACTGAACTTTTCAAAATATGTCTTCTGTATCCCACACAACTTACGGAAGCTCTGCTTGGAACAGAAAAAGACTGGAAACAACCTAAATATTTTTCAATATTGGAATGATTAACTAAATTGTGGGCCACCCAGAAAATGGAAAATTAGGCAGCCATAAGAAAAGGAAAAGAAGGAAAACAACAAAGACACTTTTAATATATTGATATGGAGAGATCTCATCACGATGAAGAGGAAAGTGAACAAAGCAAGGTGCACCCTAGAAAGCATGGTGTGTTATCATTTGCGTGAAAAGGACGTGGGCGGGAGAACATAGATTCACATATTTTTTTGTATTTGCTTACATTTGCAGAACACAGCTCTGGGAAGGTATTCAAGAAACTCATGCAGTGGTTGTCTGAGAGGAAGGTTATTACGTAAGTGGAAAATTTTTCACTATACACCCTTCTACAGAATTTTTTTTTAATTTTAAAACCATGTAATATACTCTATTCAAAAAAACAAACAATAAAGTGTCGATCTGATTATACCACTTCCCTACTTAAATTCTTCAGGGATCCCCAGCACCTTTGAGGGTAAAATATCTCAGCATAAGAGCCTAATCTCTCCCCACCTCTCTCACCCTGTACTCCACCTGCACTTCATCTCTTGTGAATAACATCAAGCCTCAAGGATCACCTCCTACAGAAGAAGGCCTTTCCTGCCTGCATTTCCCTCTGCTGGCTGGGCATATCCCCCTCATTTGGGATCCTCTGATAAACACCTCTCTAAACAACTGAGACACACTGTACATACTTTAATGGCTTGTTTTTACCTGCCCTAGATCCCAGGCTCCTTGGGGACCAGAAATAAAGTTTTCACTTCTATGTCCCCAGCTCCTAGTATGGTGCATAATTCACTGAAGGAAGGAAAGAAAGAAGGAAGGAAGGAAGGAAGGAAGGAAGGAAGGGAGGAAGGAAGGAAGGAAGGGAGTCGGGGGGATGGATGGATGAAGAAACTTCATTGATTGAAAGAGTGACATCACGGATACAATAAAAAATGTATCATTTGAATTATTCCTAATTATAGAAATTCTCTTTCTTTTATAACACCATCCCAGACATGGATAGCATGCCTGCATCACAGTGAAACCTGTTTAAGAGACTCTGCTCAAAGACTGAACTAGGTTCACACATTATTCTCATTATTCTCCAAGCATCTGGGACACAAGATTCCTCAGTCGAGATGAGAAGTCAGAATTTCAAGCAGCTCTGCAAAGAAGCAGAAAAATAGAAGCCTGCAGACGAAAGCTTAAAATGATTATTAAAATGATCTAATAAAAGGTTTCATGTTTCCTAAAGGACTTTAAGGAAAAAAAAAGCTTTCCAGCAGCAGACAAGTAGGTCCTTTTCTGAGAACGGTTGTTCATCCCAAGGTGCAAACACAAAGCCTATAGGAAACTGTGCCCATTGTTCCCAATGAAGTTTTACAATTATCTCAGTTTTTCATCCCACTCTCCCTCAAGGTGAGCACCAACAATGCTAATACAATCACAACGTCCACTGTGGACTCCTGGCCTAACTTTTTTTTCTTTCATTAACCATCAGAGATAGCCAGCAATGAATAAGCCAAGTTTCCATTCTGGAGGCTATAGATAAAAATAGCCTGCATGGCTCTGACTGTATCATAATTCCCAATGTGCACTAATGAAGTCTCTGTCCTACAAATGTAGAATGTCGTTCTAGTGAAATCCAGAGCATCAGGTCTCACACTCCTAAACCAAATACAAAGAACCATTTTGATCAAGTCTTCATGAAGGTCCAGATTCAAACAATCCATTCCTCCTTGGAGGTAAGTTAAAACCCCTTCTGGCACATGAGTTTCTGCCACTGCCAAGCAAGCCAAAAGGACAGGTGAAGTCAAAGCAACTCTCTTATCACTAGGACCATATTTGAGCTACACACTCTGGCCAGGTGCAGTGGACATCTATGATTTTTGCCCACCTGGCACCCACTGCCTCCTGTTCTTGTAAGAGCAAGGGACATCTCTTTGAAAACCATTTCTTCAAATACGTACATGTCTCAGGTGGAGCTGGATGACACTGCTCCACACCCCCCACTCCCCCCCCACACACACACACACCCCACCCCTGCCCCATGACTCAGGCCTAGCCAATTACCACATTCTTTTGACCACAGAGATGTAATCAGGGATAGGCCCACGACCCAATCAAAGTTAATCTCAGAACTTTTGCTGGAGCTATGAGGGAAAGAAAACTCTTTCTCTTCCAGCTCTTTGATCATTAGAAGGAATACTACCTAAAAATGAAGCCAACATAGAAGAAAGAGGAGCTGCCAAGAGAGAGCCAAAAAGAGAGATCTGGAGATGCTGCCTGAGGCCCTGCATCCAGCTGTGTCTGGGACCATATCTGCACTTGAACTTCCCAGCTATGACCACCCATAAATGTCCCTACCCACACTTTATCAGCCTATTAAGCTAGTTTTAAGAATCTTTTCTTTCACTTGCTTCTGTGGGACTTTTGTTTTACACACAAAAATGAAATGTTTATATGCAACTCTTTTGTGTAGCACTTCTCCTTTTTCCTTCTTTCCTCTCCTCAAACCTAAGTATAAAGCTAAAGGCTCCGGAGAAAGCTGGGTGAATAACAAGAGAAGCAAGCTCCCTGGATCTGCCCACAAACTGCTGTCTTATCTATCTATGCAGGGCTTACCTACCTATATCATCCTGTCACTCTGACACTAATCATAGGTGAAATGGCATTAAAGTTCCTTCAAGCCCTGGGATTTCATGATTCTATTCAGCCTCAGTTGTCACATCTGTAAAGTGGGGGATAATATCTCACAGGATCCTGGGGAGGATAAGATACAGCAAAAAGACTGCTTTCCAAAGGTTTCTTTAAAAAGTAACTCATACCCGTAATTCCCCTGGCAGTTTCTCAGTATTGTATCCAACAAAAAAAGGTAAAAGATCATTCCAGAAATTGTTACACGA